AAGCCTCTCTGCTCCTATGATGCTGCTTGGCCTGCTGTGTTCATCCAGCCCTGCACCTTGTTGTCTCATGTAGACAACTGTGTCGGTTTTGCTTCCCGCTTTCATGTGGAACATGAAAAGAATCATCAGCTTTGCTCCCAATTTTCATCCTTCTCCTTTCTTCACCTGGTCCATCTCTGACTCTTCCCTCCCTTTTCATAAGTTCTCCATCTATTTCCAGGGATAGGCTGTCTACAAATATGCATTACAAATCCAGCAACTCTTCAGATCTACATTGAATAGGTAGCTTCCTGACATTGTGCTTCCTATAGGCTTTCATTCCATTTTCCCAGTTCCTCCATCTCTGTCTTTTCTGTTCTGATATTGTTACCTTCCACAATGTTGCTTCTGACACGTCTTCCTTTGTTTTCAGTGAAGAATTCTCTACTGGGTTGACAAGCCCCTCACTCGTGTCTGACCCATTTTCTGTACATTGGTCCTCAAGCTTTCCCTCCCTCCTAGAACCATTGTCTTCACATTTCATCTGACCGGCCTCTAAATTAAAAGGATCATTCTCCAAATTACCACCCCCCTTCCCGGACCCCCCAGCATGATGCCTCCACCAAACTCTTATTACCACAATCACAGCACAATTATGGCACACTTAGAGACCATTTGGCCCATTGTGCCTGCACCAGTTCTATTTATCTAATGCCAATCTCCTGTCTTTTCCCCATATCCTTTATTGGTCAGTGCATTGAGTATTGGAGTCATATTGCTGCTGTACAGGACATTGATTAGGCCACTTTTGGAATACTGCATTGAGTTCTGCTCTCCCTGCTATAGGAAGGATATTGTGAAACTTGAAAGGATTCAGATTTACAAGGATGTTGCCAGGGTTGGAAGATTTGAGCTATAGGGAGAGGCTGAATAGGCTGGGGTATTCTTCGTGGAGCATCAGAGGCTGAGGGGTGACCTTATAGAAGTTTGTAAGATCATGATGGACATGGATAGGTTGAATAGACAAAGTCTTTTCCCCAGGGTGGGAGAGTCCAAAACTAAACGACATTGGTTTGAGGTGAGAGGGGAAAGATTTAAAAGGGATCTAAGGGGCAATTTTTTCACACAGAGGGTGGTGTATGTATGGAATGAGCTGCCAGAAGAACTGGTGGAGGCTGGTACAATTACAACATTTAAAAGGCAACTGGATAGGTAAATGATAGGAATGGTTTAGAGGGATACAGGACAAATGCTGGCAAATAGGACTAAATTAATATAGGATATCAGGTCGGCATGGACAAGTTGGACAGAGGGTCTATTTCCATGCTGTACAGCTCTATGACTCTATGACTGCATATCCCTGTACACCATGTCTATCCAAATAATCATCCAATGGCCTCTTGAATGCCTCAATTGAACCTGCCCCCACTGCCATTCCAGGCAGTGCGTTCCATACCCTAACTACCAGCTGTGTGAAGAAGTTTTTATTATATCATCTTGACTTTTTTAGTATATCACTTTAAATCCCTTCCCCTCCTTTCAACTATCAGCATGCTGAAGGGAATTGTCTCTACGATACACTGGGTCACCTCTCTCTAACCTCCACTACCTTTCTCCCACAGAACTTTTCTATACAATCCCAGGCAGAGTAACACTTGCTCTTTTACCTCCACCCTCCCGCTTCCTTGTTGTAAAATGCTCCAAACATTGTTTCCAGATGCAACAATGATTTCCTTATACTTTCTATACTATATTCTCTGCTCACACAACAGACTGCTGTAAATTGAGACAAAATGAAGACTGGGTGACTGTTTTGCAGAACACCTTTGTTCAGTCTGCAAGCCTGACTCAACCTTCCAATCACTTGCTAGTTGAATACATCACCTTGCTCATGTGCACACATTTCTGACTTTAGTGTACTGCAGTGTTTCAGTGAAGCCCAACATAAGCAAGAGAAATAGCACTTGATTTTCAACATAGGCACTTTACAGCCTCTGGCCTCATGGTTGATTTCAACAACTTCAGACTATGCACAGTGTCCTCTATTTCAATATAATATTTTTCCATACTGTCTGCATCTTGTTTTCATGTTTCTATTTTCAGAAATGACCTTCATTCTGCTATTGACATCTACACTATGCTTTGATTCTTCTTTGTAGCCATTACAACTCCTTTTGCCTTTTGTTCTATGATAGCTTTGATCTATAATCTCCCTCATTCTCCAACCTTTTTCTGACATTTGCTTCAATTCCAATTGCTCCTCCTCCATTTTCTTACCTTATCGGATGCAAGATGTGAGGAAATCTACGCAAGGTAGCTGCGGGAGTCGGTGGATTTGTCATGAATATTAGTAGACCACCTTGGAAATGGAGATAGAGAAGTCAAGGAAGGGGAGGGAAGAGTCAGAGATAAAGATGAATGATAATTGAAAATTGGAAGCAAATTTGTCTCATTTCTTTCAGTTCCAAATGAGACAGGAAGCTGCACTGTTGCAATCACATAAAACCCATCACATTTCCACCTTTGCTCAATTCTGAAAAAGACTCATAGTGAGCTCAAAATGTTAGCTCTGTTTCTCTTGCCAGAGATACATATGAGCATACGAAATAGGAGCAGAAGTAAATCATTCACCCCCCAAATCTGCTGCGCGATTCAACAAGATAATGGTAGATCCCTGTTTCAAATTCCACATTCCCATCTACCCCAATAACCCTTGATTCCTGCACCTAACAAGAATTTATCCACCTCTGTATTAAAAGTATAAAAAAGCCCCTCCTCCACCTTCTACTGAGGCAGAGAGTTCCAAAGCTGCACAATCCTCTGAGAGGAAAGATTTCTTTGTCCTGAAAGGGCTACCCTTTATTGTAAAATAGTGCCCCTTAATTCTGGACTAAACCCTAGAGCAAACGTTCTTTCCAGGTTCACTTTGTCAGCATTGTTCAGAATGCTATAAACTCAATCAAGTCACCCCTCACTCTTCTAAACCCCGATGGAAACAAGTCCAACCTGTCCAATCAATCCATGTTAAACAATTCGCTCATTCCAGGTATCAATCCAGTAAACCTCATCTGAACAGGCACCGATTCATTTACACCCTTCTTTAAATGATTCAAACTGTATCACTGAAACAGATTGTTTCAGTTGAACATGTTTATTTTCAATTCCTGTATAAACAAAGCATTGCATCCTATTGGCTGTCTTGATTACATGCCGCACATACAATCTAACCTCTTGTGATTCATGCACCCAAACACTTAAATCCACCTGTGCCTTGGAAATCTGCAAGCATTCTCCCTTTAAATAATATTCTGATTTTTTCATTCCTGCTGTCAAAGTGAACAATTTCACAATTCTCCGTATTATACTCTACCAGAGTTTTTCCCACTCAGTCGACCTATTTATGTCTGTCTGTAAGCTGGAAAATGTTGAGACACTATCATATATTACTGCAGGACTCTACTCATCAGAAAGAGACTCATTAATGAATACTGTCCAGTTTTTACCATCCAGCCAATCTTCTATCAATGCTTTTATTTTTCATAATAACCTATGATGTGGCACCTTATTAAGTTCTTCTTGAAAACCAAGTATTGTATATCTACAGGTTTTCTTTTATCGAAAACATATATTACTCTTTCAAAGAGCTCCAATAAATTGGTTAAACATGAAGACCAACACTCACTTCACTTACTCGTTTCCTTTTTAAATGCCTCTATAAACTCATGCTGTTCTTATGTTTCTATCTAGTTTCCTCTCAGACTCTCCCTTGTGATTAACTTTTTAGTCACTCCTGGCCATTCTTTATGTTCTGACCAGCCACTCATCTTTGTGTGGTTTTATGCTTTTTCCTTAAGTTTGACTCTTTCTCTGACTTCTTTAGTCAACCACAGGTGTTGGGTCCTCCCTTTAGAATTTTTCTTTTGAGTCGGAATATAGTTACTCTGAGTATTCTGAAATAGCCCCTTAACTGTCTGCCACTGTCTCTCTGTTGATCAATCTCATACACAAGAAAATCAGTTCACTTCAGCTAGATCAGCTATCTTGTCCACATAGTTGACTTCATTTCATTTAAAATATGAGTCTTAACTCCAGTCTTCTTCCTTTCAAACTTTTAGGAGGAGATGAGGAGTAGTAGGGGAAAGCAGTCCTACAAATTCTCATCTCCACCTAAACCAATTCTACATCCTGACGTCTTGAACCAAGATTATCTCTCACTATTGTACAAATGCCATCCTTGATTAAAAGTACTAACCTTCCACCTTGACCCAGCTTTCTATTGATTTGAATGTCATATACCCCTTAATATTCAAGACCCAGTCTTTGTAATCCTGAAATCATGTTTCTGTAATTACTACCAGATTGTATTTATGTACTTCAAAGTGTGCTTTCAATTTGTTTACTTTGTTATGAAAGCTTCAGATACAGAAGGCTGAATCTTAGGCTTTTTTTTGAAACATGCAAGTTATGTTGAGATTTTTGGTGGATTTCTCACTGTTAGGCCTAGCAAGTTCCCCTACCCAATTATGTCAAACTTGCCTCATTAATTGCCTACCACATCCCTGTGGTGTGTCTCACATCCGATTTCTGCCTCCATATGTAACTAGATGCTATTCCCACAACAACTCACCACTCAACGGATATACACTGAGCACTGCATCCCCTGCACCATCTTTAAAGTGCGACACACTGTGCCCAGATGAGAACTGGCATCCCAAAGTTGCCCTGCTTGATCAGTGACATATGCACAGGTTTTGGAGAAAAGGAGGATGGCATTTTGTTTCACCATCAGGGTCCTGAAGGAGGCCTTGCCACCAGACTGTACCAGTCTGCTGTGAGGTTGTCACTCAGGTCTGTGCCATCTCCAGGACCAGCCAACAGTGTGGAAAAAGGTTAATGATGTTCCCCACTCTGCCAGGGCAAGTGCCGCACCCTTCGCCCTGCCATCTCACACTCACTGTATCAGTGCCACTACACACACCTCCCACCAAGGCTCTTGCCCCACCACTTTCATTGTTGCCTTCCTTCACCCACTCTTGCCCTTTAGCTTCCCACACACATGCCCTCTGAGCTCCCTCCTCAGCCCTTCAGTACAATTTGCCACCTTTCCCCCATATGCCCCAGCACTAACAGCCGTATCACCCACTGCCAACTCACTCATCCCCCCCTCCACCACATACCCCCTTGTTTTCTTATTACAGGAGAAGACAGCCCATTACAGGGGAGAATGGAGATGTGCCTGACATTCATGTCCTTATGCCTGATGAGGAGAGGATCCCAGCTGTTGCAGGAGGAGACGAGGACTGCTCCTGCAGGGATGCCCAGACATCCACACCCCACTGACTGCGTAAGTACCACTCTTCATTTCATTCCCATAAATCTTGCTGTCACGCTCAATGATTGCACGGCACTTCCAACCTGTGGTCAGCTCCAGTTCACTTGTTCCCTTAGTTCCTGCGGCAGACTGGACTGACTAACTGTGGCCTACTTCCCTTGACCAACTTGACTGGACAGCTCCTCACAAGCACTGCTCAAACCCCTGATTGG